TGAGCCATTGACAACGATTTTGAGCCATGTCACCAATTTTTTCCAACAATTGGTTTTTACCGTCCCGAGGATCTGAACCAATCAGTCAGGAAGTCTACACCTTCCTACGTGGCTTAGACTAACTGTTGTGGATTTCATTGACTGATGAAGCCATGTTTTCGTTTGACCGCCGTTAGCTAGCTCTTTTCTAGCCTGACCCTATATCAGCTAATATTGCCTGTCGTCGAGGAAGGCGATGACTAGGCATACGTAACACATGTCCTAACCATCTCAGTCGAAGTAATTTCACAGCCTCGTCGACTGATTTCCCCGCCTTACCCAGCGCTCGACGCCTAACCTCAATATTGCTCACCTTATTATACAAGTTCACGCGGGAGATAGAACGCAGACACCTATGATCGAAGACAGATAATCTTTTCATATCTTCCACTCTCAATGGCCAGGTCTCACAGCCATAAAGGAGGACGGAGCGGACAGTTTAGGAGTGTATTTTCAATTAAAAGTTGAACAACAATTAGGAAAGTGAATGTGATAACTGCAGACATGTGAGGTGTGTTTTTAGGATTATATATTTAGCTAAGAATTGAACACACATGTTTTAAGGTAAGGGAAAACTAGGAATTTTCTTTTCCTGTGCCTACTGACCTTCTCACAGTTTGTTTACAACTTCACGTGAATGATAATAATGAAAATAGGATTTCATCATGAGCTGACATTGGTTGGAGAACCATTGGAAAACCTGGGAGTACTGAACAGCTGTTTCGTCCTAGTTTGGGACTCTTCATCAGTACGCACCCACGGGGTTCGAACCCAGGACCTTCTGGTTACAAGGCGAGCTCGTATACCATTAAGCCACTAGGACCCGATCCAATGGCCCATGAATTATAACTTCTGCCAATTCACGATATAGCGCAACCGCTAGCCAATGTCTTCGGCGAGTATTTGTCCTCACACCCGACCTGCTGCACCCTACTGGTCACGACTTCCCACTGGAACCCCAGGCAACTTCCTACCTGAATAGTGCCAGTCGCCAGTGAGCACCTCATTGATATTCAAGTATTGGTTTGTAGGGATTTGGTTGATTGGTTACAGGATCCTGTAATCCCTACAAACCAATACTTGAATAATAATAATAATTTGCTTTATTCCAAAACAGTACTTGTGATAGAGAATGAAATTCTCAGCATTTTTACTACAGTATTGCATCCAGTTAGTACATTATCAATAAGTAGAATTCTACATAGATTAAGGAAATCTCAGTTCATTATGACAACAACATATTAGCATGTCGGTAGCAAAGCCAAAGTTGAACAGTGTTTGAAGGTGTTAGAAAAGTAGGTGCTGTCATATTTACTGGCATAAGCGGAAGAAAGAAACAAAGCAGCACATAACAGAAAAAAAGAGAGAAAAGGAAAAGAAAGAAAGAAAATGTTGTACCTATAAATGATATAAATGAGTTGGAAAGACGAGATCCAGTTGTTCTACTGACTATTTAATAAGTTATAGGTATCACGCCTATTGCTCTCTCTATCGCTCAGAACACGAGCCAAGTAGGGTATGGTTGAGTTTTTTTTACTTGCTACTGCGAGCATATAGTTTTCTATATAGGCTTCTGGTTTTGCCTGATGAGATACAAGGGGAGAGTTGTGAATGAAGAGGGTGGTGTGAGTTAGATAGAATGGAAGAGAATAGCCCATTTTTCACATGAGTCCATGTGCCTGTCGACCAGAATATTAACAAGCTGGTTAAGTGGCACATTGCTTACCTTGCTGACAACCTTTAACACCCTACGTAATAACGGGATTCCAAGTTACTAACTCCGAGCGCTCTATTAGCTGACCTGTCAAGCAGGTCATCATTTACTGCAAGCAGCACGTTCTCTGATGACCGGCTGTCTTGTCAATCAGTGTACACATTCCTCTCTATGTTAATCATCATTCTCACATCACTTTCAAGAGTAAAAATAAGCATTACAGAGGGATAAACATGCTGTGTGCGTGTGTGTGTTTTGAAAGGTACATTGAAATTCAGTTGATCTGATATAATTATTATAAGGCGGATGATTTAGCCACAGAGAAAGAATCTAATCTAATATCCAAGGAATTCTGAATTCTGTCAACTGACGATTTCTAGCACCACCTCCAGCCAATGTCATCGGTGAGTATTTGTCCTCTAAAACAAATGAATCAGTGGACTCGACTAGTTACTAATACTCACTAGAGCTACAGTCAATTTCGTCCTGCAGTCAGTTAGAATCTCTCTCATGTTCCACTGGATTCTATCCCTACTGGCTGAATGTTTAACTACGTGGCCTTGTAACCTGAAGGCCCTCGCTTCGCTGTGCAGCAGGGTGATAAGTGCGTATTACTGGAAAGTTCCAGACTTCGTAGAAACAGCTTTTCAGCATCTATTAGTTTTCAGTGATTCTGTAATTGATATCTATCCATGTTCAGACATGAACATGCATATATTGGTCGAAAGAATGAAGTGTTTCACCATTCGTCAGGAAATCGAAATCTACTTATTCTAAATAGAAATCCAAGACCATTTATTATAAAGTATTTATTAATGTCTAATTATCAAAAAACTGGAAAAGCAGCACGACCAGACGGAATCCTCACAGAAGCATTGAAAATGGACCAACAGACATCAGCGGACTTGATGACACCACTACAAAAGAAGGTGTGGAAAGAGAGCAATGAACCTGCGTACTTATTCAAATTGCCAAAGAAAGGAGACTTAAGTTAATGCAAGAACCGGTGAGGTATTATGTACCTGTCTATCCCAAGCAAAGTTCTAAGTCGCATCATCCTGGAGAGAATCAAACACACCGACCTGGATGAGAAAATTTGACCGAAACAGGCTGGACTCAGGAGAAACAAATCATGCATCGATCAAATCGCAACACTACAGATCATCATTGAACAGAGCTTGGAATGGCAGTCAGATCTCTACCTCACTCAACTTCGTCGAGTTTGAAAAGGCCTTCGACAGTGTTGACCGAGAGGTGATTCGGCAACCATTTCGCTACTTCGGGTTGGCACCAACAATTAGTAACCTCATGCAAAAGTTGTACGACAATGCTGCATGCCAAGTAATCTACAGCAGGAAACTCACGGAATCCTTCGAAGAAGTGAAGACCGAAGTAAGACAAGCTGGCTGCCTACTATCTCCAATGATTTTCCTGATTGTAGTAGACTGGATAATGCGAAAGACGGCGGCGGGCAACGAGAAGACAGGCATAAAATGGATCCACACGTAAAACAACTTGGAGGATCTGAACTTTGCCGACGTGATAAATGTCTGATTTCCCACAAACTGGACGATATGCAAGTGAAAAGCAACAAGTTGGTGATAGAAGAAGCATCAAAGATAGGACTTCAGGTGGACACAGAAAAAACAGAGATGATGATGATGATGAAGATTCCCGGCCAACAGCAACGGCAACAGTAACAGACAACAATCAGCATAAATGGGAGGAATCTTAAATAAGCAATCTCTTTTACCTACCTACCTGGGAAGTGTCGTTTCAACTACAGGCTGACGGAACTGATGAGGACATCAAAGCGACGATTGGGAAAGCAAGGCAAGCTTTTATTACTCTCAGGTCTGTATGTGGAGATCAACAGCACTCAGCATGAAAAATAAGATCCGGATTTTCAACTCCAATATGAAATCAGTGCTATTATACGGATCAGAGGCTTGGAGCCACGCCACGTCATGAAGGGCACTTCGAACAAACTACAGACCTTCATCAACAGCTGTCTCTGCTCAATACTACTCAAGTTCAGATCGCCGGCCAGAAAAGATCAACAACAGGGATCTCTGGCAATGAATGAACCAAGCAGGAACCGAATGTACAACAAATATGCAGGAATAAATGGAGGTGGATTGGTGGCCATACTCTGAGAAAATAAACCATCAAGTTACATCCCATGCCAGGCCATCTCTCGAGTGGAACCTGGCCGAATGAGAAGCGGGGAGAGTGCGAAGATGACAGGAGATGAAAGCATGTGGGCAGATGTGGAGCCAGGCTAAAAGGTCGGCAGAGAACTGAACGCGCAATGGAGACGTGCGGCTGAAGCCCTATGTTCCTCTAGGAATTAAAGGAAATAATAATAATAATAATAATAGCTATCAAAATCCACATTAGTGACTGTTTTTCAGTTATTTCACATCATTCTAGTTCAAGGTTATCGTGAAGGTTATGAAGGCATGCACTTTAGATAAATCACGTGCATCTGAAATATGTAAACAAATAACAATAAATTCCAGCCTTCACATATCGTAATCTAATTGACCTATTTAATTATCATTAATCATTTATATGTGCTTTTACTTATTTCATTAGTGATGAAATTATTGGTGATAACGTTGAGTTGATAGACTGTTACGGATGTGTACTGGATGTTGATTGAAGGTGAAATCAAGATCTATATCGAGACAGAATTCCAATCATCAGACTCCGGATTACTAACCCAGCTTTCCAGTAGCGGGATTTCGACCCTTACCTACCAAGTAGGTCAGTATTTCGCTTCAAAGACCATGGTATGTGTTGACCAGCAGTCGAGTGAATTATTGATATGTTCCCATATGTTTATCACGATTTCTCCATCGATTTTAAGAGTACAAATAAGATCTATCAATTCGTCATTCTTAGCGCCAGCACCAGCCAGTCTCATTTGTGAGTAATCGTTCTCATACCCAACTTCTCAGGACAACTCCAAACATCTTCGTCCTGTACTCAGCTATAGATTACATGGTCCAAAGTATTCTCCCGCAGTGACTGAATGCACAACCAGCTCGCCTAATAAATTGAAGGTCCTAGATTCAACCTCTGCTGTAGAAAAGTCTGGGTAATGCCGAAGAGTCTCAGACTAGGAACAAACAGCTGTGTCTGGTATTCATTAGCTCTCTAACAAATATCACCAATCCCCAGGAGCTAAAAACCTGAGAATTATTAAAGCTGTTAAAAGACAGTTCATTTTAATTAAACTTACCTAAGCACATAACCAGGTCTGTATTGAGTCTTCAGAAACTTCGAAGTACCAAAACAAATCAATTTGCCTCCAATAACAATTGCTTTTCGATCTTCAGTACAATAAGAACAGATAAAATAAATTATGTAGAAATGTTTAGTCTACTCATGAGTAGGTAGAAATTATATAAAAAGGAAAAATCAATTTTATATACAGTTGATACCATGCTAACTTGAAAACGTGTGATTGTCCAGAATTCGAGATTTTGGACTTAAATAGCCTTGAAATTTATTTTTAAAACATCATAGTTGTTCTATGCTATTGATTTCGTTTGTAGTGAGCAGTAATATTTAATAACTCAGCATTTCAGATACAATGAAAAAGTATTTTTAGAATTGTAGAATGCCTATGAATTTGACTTTTTAGATGTTTCCAGGATGAATTCAAAGTCCCTCTTATTTACTATATTTTTGAGTTTGGATTTCAGCTGTCCAGTCTCATGTCTGATGGAAGTTAACTTACTGATAATTCTGTAGATTCCCTCTTTTAAACAGAGTCTACTAGGGCGTTCTCCTACAGCTCTCACCTTCCTTGTATTAATCACAGAACGTGTATGCAAAGACAATTAGAAATAATTCCATCTTTTAAAGCATCAAATGTTAAAAAATACGATGATTTGTAGATCTTGCTTGTGTTTTTTTCATAGCCTTCTAAGAAGGTGAAATCTACAATGCGTGTTTCGTCCCATCTGAGACTCATCAGCCTCATATACTTGGATTCCAGTGAGTGGTGGCGTTTCTATTGTGATTTGAACCTAGCATCCAGCCTTTCAAATGTCAAAATACTAAAGACATCTGGCTGACTTCAAGAAGTTATCAAAACGTCTATAATAGAAGCCAAAATGTCGAAAGAAAATTACTCAAAGAGAGATTTCAACAATTATTTCAGTAAGCGAATTTTCGTATTTATTCTGAACAGATATAGGGACCACGTACTTCATATGGAAATGTCAGATGGTTGGAGGCAATCGTCGGGAAACTTTGGACTTAGGTTTCGTGCTTGCCAGCACTCATCAGTCTGCAAGGCATATCTGTTGTCTCAAAGTACCTCATGTCCCTCATGATGTTGGAACCGACGTCACGCAGTTTGCTGCAGTAAGAGACGTTACCACTGAGCTATTTAACCAGTGTCACGCATCTAGTTCTTAGTGTTGATGCATAGTGAGCTCTAATGGCGGACCGACTAACCTGATGATCATATATTAAAATTGACTAATAGAATGCAAGTGTTGGTTAGCAGGAATCTGACTGATTATAGGGTTCGACCAAGAGTTGACATCAGTGAGAGAACCATAGAGACCGGAGACCCATTTCGTCCTAGTTCGAGACTTATGATCAGCACGAACCCAGGACATTCCATCTACAAGGCGAGCTCGGATCCCACTGGTTGAATGATCTACGAGTTCTTCTTGTAACCAAAAGGTCTTGAATTCCACCTCGAGTGGATGCGTACTGCTCACGAGTCCCACACTGGGGCGAAACAGGTGTCCAGTAGTTCCAGTTGATTTCCAATGGTTCTGTAACTGATAGAATTCAATCCGCAGCAACACTAGGAACTCGAAGAATGATACTGGCTACTGCCTAACACAGATATTTGGAACGATGTGGATCAACAGAACCAAATATAATCGAAACGAATAATTAGAATTGTAATAATAATAATAATAATAATAATAATAACCCAGATATTTATTCTAAGTCGGGATTGAAGACCATAAAAGCGAGAGAGATTGAACAAACTTTTCTGGACGCAAAGATTAAGCTGAAAAATTCTCTTGGCAACTGTCTCAGTTATACTTAACAATAGAAGACGTACAATCTCTGGGAAATGAGGTGGCGGTGACTTAAAAAACATTTTCTGGATATCCATTCTCATACAATGCAAGAGAGGTAAAAAAAACTCAGAAGTACTATGAGGAACAGGAATATCCTGGGAAAAGAATAGTTACATGGAAAAACATCACGGTTTAGTGGATCTGATAGATTACAAAGATTGGATGCATCCGCATCATTAAAACAGTCTCCAGCCATTAGCTGTTAGCTTGTTGGGGACCCCAACCAAGAAACCTACACCTCCCAACATAGCTGGCTTAAACCAACTGCCAATGACTTCGTGGATTGATGCCAGGCTTCGAGTTAACCACTCCTAACTTCTTTTCAACTTAAATCCTATATCAAATAATACCTAGAGAACAAAAATGAAAAGGTACAAAATGACAAAATGAATAAATAGAAAAAACCTACCAGCTAGTACATCTGCTTCATCCATATGATGTGTAATAAACACAATCACACGATTCGATCTATTCTCAATCAATGCACGCCATATACAACGACGTGAAAATGGATCAACACCAGAGGTTGGTTCATCTAGCATGATTAAACGTGGGGAACCAAGCAAAGCAATAGCAACGGACAGCTTACGTTTATCTCCACCAGGTAGTAAATTAGTGAAGGTATGCGAGTATGCTGTTAATTCCAGTTGTTTAAATAATCTATAAGCCTGTAAATTCAAAGAAAAACAAAGGTAGGCTACATAAAAGAAAAAAGAGTCACTGACAAGGACACTGAATATCTATGGTAATGATGATCATTATTAAAAGCGTCTATGTGTTTTCCTCATCCCATTAGACTTTCAAAGAATAGGCATCATTTTCTGTTTTAATTACATGGAGGATTTCATCATGAGCTGACATCAGTTAGAGAACCATTGGAAAATCTGGGAGTACTGGACATCCAGTTGTTTCACCCTAGTTTGGGACTCTTCATCAGTATGCACTCGCCCCGGTGGGGTTCGAACCCTTCTGGTTACAAGGCAAGCTCGTAGACCATTGAGCCACTGGGACCCTATCCAATGGTCCTTGAATTCTAACTTCTGCCAATTCACGACATAGCGCGACCATTTCACAATGTCTTCTTCGATGAGTTACTGCCTCATCTACTAGTCACGGCTTCCCACAAGAACCCCAGGTTAACTGCCTGAATAGGGCTAGTCGCTAGTGAGCATCCGATTAATTAACCTGCAGGGAGTACTGGACAGCTGTTTCATCAGTACGCACCCACCGGGGTTTGAACCCAGGACCTTCTGGTTCTCCAACTGATGTTAGCTTATGATGAAATCCTCCATGCAATCAAACAAAAATCCCTACAAAACCAATACTTGAAAATTTCTCTTTTGTCTTTAGGTTAATCTGTGTTTACAGTTGATTGAAATCCTCAGTCTCTCTACTAACATGTCAGCTGCTAGTAGGGAGCTCTCGACGTTGTTATCTTGGATAGTGTGGTGACCAACAGTAGAATCCAGTGTGTAAGGCAACAGTAAAGAATAGATACCATAATCAAGTGACCTTGAACCAACCAATCAGATCACTTAGAATCACAAATGAATGCTTTTCACAATCTTCATCGCAAATGTATCGTCACACATTTTGAACTGTTTTGGACTCATCACCTGTGTGTACCTGCATTCCCAGGGAAACTAATCGTTTGATACAGTAAAGCACTATTCACTAGATCTTAAAGCCTCGTGGATTCAGAGTTCGAGTCCCGGTGGGTACATTATGACTCATAGGGAATACGAGTGTATCCAGCTGGTAAGTTCCAAATGCGATGATATGTGAATTCTGGATTCCACTGCTAGACACCATCGTCAACCGAAATGCCATTTCTTCTTCTCGAATGTACGCTTTCTCCTTCGTTGGGAAATATCATTTTAGCCTTAGGATTTGGTGGTTCTTTCTAATCCTGATTATTACTTAAACATTTTATTATATATGTTATCTGCCTTTTAGTGTTCAACATTAGCCTTACTTTTATATTGCTTATACTAGTGATAGCGCAAGAGGCTTCTCCCAAAAGCTTCTACGTGACAAACACTCCTAAAAACTAAATACATTATTGTTGACGTACTGCTTGTTGATGACTTTAGTGCCTGTCATTTGTATATAACTTGTAATAATAATAATAATAATAATTTTTGCTTTATTCCCAAAACAGTATTAGTGATACAGCAAGGAATTTTCAGCATTTCAGCATCTAATTTACTCAAAAACGACAACAACAAAAAAAAATAGATAAACGGAATAATTAATACATAATAATGATAACAAAACGTTTTTATAGGAGCTATGTAGCAATTACAGTATAGGATAAGGAGAAAATATAAAATTATAGTAATAATAGTAATAACAACTAAAATAAAATAGCTTAGTTATAATTAAACGATAGAAAGGGTGACACCATAGAATTACAGAAAGATGAACAATGAAAGGGTCGATTCACTATGCTAATTACATAGTAACTTATATGTTTCACGTCTAACAGTGTCTTCATCACATAAAATACGGGCTAAATACGGTATTGTAGAATTTTTGTACTTAGTGGTACGAGCATATAATTTCTTATATTGACTTCTCGTTCTACCTGATGAGATACAAGGGGATAATTGTGAATAAAGACGATGCAGAGGGTCTGACAGTACGGCCTTTGCCCAATTTGTACAGGAATTTACGTGTCTCTCGACTATGGTATTGGCGAGATCACGCAGTGGCAAACCACAAGCCCTACTCACAGCATTTAATACCCTTCGTAATACGGCATAGTCTTTTTTAAGAAGCCCAGGAAAGATTAATGGAGAACAATAAAGTAAAATGGGTAAAATACAGGAGTTTAAAAATTGCAGAACTAAAGGTTGGCTGATACCTTGTTGTCTTTACTTTTTAATGTAGAAGGTAAGACGAAACATTTTCTTAGAGACCAATAAAATGTGAGATGACCATGAAAGGTCAGAGGAAAGAACTAATCCAAGGTATTTAATGCTTGATTTGGTTTCAATTTCTGTACCATCTATGCTACAGGAACCATGGGAACTAACTAGTTCATGTATGTCACGTCGATGGTTGAAGGTAAAGTTAACTGCCTGACATTTGGAAGGATTTAACATAAGACCATTTGACTTAGACCACATGCTGATGTCCAACAGAAAGCTATTAAGTTTGGAGCAGTCAGACTCAGAAGTGATAGGCAGTGATACAGTCAGATCATCAGCATATTTGACAAAATTGGTTTCGTTTAAATGTGGCAGGTCATGTAGGAAGAAAGAAAAAAGAAAGGGAGAGAGGACGGCACCTTGAGGAACACCGGCTTTTGTAAGCAAAGCAGAAGAAGATTTGCCATTATATGCAGTATACTGCATTCTATCAGAAAAATAAGAATGCAATCAACTCTTAGCCCAGGATGCTGTGTGCGTCAAGGAGAGCTTATTTAATAAAAGGCCCCTAGGTACAGAGTCAAACGCAGATGCGTAGTCTAGGAAAGCACCACGAACATATTTGGCACCTTTGTCTAAACAAGAAACAACATTATGATATAAGACAACCGCAGCATTCAAGGTACTTCTACCATGTTTATATGCAAATTGCTTAGGGTCATTAAAAGCTTTCAATGAAGGTTCAAGACGAAGTAAAAGTAGTTTTTCCATCAATTTTAAAAAAGGAGAAGTAATTGCAATAGGCCTAAATTTAATATCGGTACCAGAAGATTGTTTTGGTATAGGGACAATTTTAATGTTTTCCCATGCAAAAGGTAGAACATTACTGGAAAAGGAAGCATTAAAAATATTAGTAAGAGGGTAACACAAAATATCAGCACAGTTCCTGAGGACAATGGCAGGTACGCCATCAGGACCAACAACATGTTTATCATTTTCCGTTTCAGTTAGTCGTTTAGGAACTTCTCCGTTGTTAATATATTATTATTATTTCCTTAGTTTCTGAGTGGAACATAGGGGGTTTCAACAACACAGAACACCTCCACCTTCTTCTATTTTCTTCTACCTTCTTCACCTGGCTGGCGCCACACTTGTCTATAATCCCTCATCTCCTCCATGTCACCCTCGCATTGACGATCTACTCTACTCGTTGATTCTCAATGGGATTCCAGTCGAGCGATGGTCTGCACTGTGCGCGATATCATTCAACGGTTTCCTCAATGTATGCCCAACCTATCCATCTCCGTTTTCTTCTACATATTTGTTGAGCAATCGGTTCTTGCCTGTTGGTTGGTTCGTTCCCAGGCAGCTGATGAATTGACTCACTGGTTACGACTGTGGTATGTATGTATTTTCTCATGATATGTTAAGGGTAATCACGTATATCCGATCTCATATAACTTTAGAATATTGCTATTAAAGTTAAGAAACCTGCAAAGTTTTGATTATTTGACAACTATGACACCCTGTCAACATTGTATTCTGTATTACTACTATTAATTCCTTGGGTTCTGAGTGGAACATAGGGGGGGGTGCTTCCGCAGAACATCTCTATATCATTCTGTTCTCTACAGTCCTTTTTGCCACACTCAACGATCGCTCATCAGTTTTCATTTCCGCCACACATACATACACACGATCTCAACCATTTCACCCTCGGATACACACGCCCAACTCGTCGCTTTCCATTCAGTTCCCAATCAAGGGCCTCTCGGGTGTGATGTCACACAGCAGTCTCCTTAGAGTGTGCAAAATACGTCTCCATTTCCTTCGGTATATTTGCATAATATTGTATTCATTTGTGAAAATGTCACAATGTGAATTTTGGAACTAGGATCGCAACTTGGAAGTAATACACGAAGTCATAAAATTTCATTGACTCAGAACAACTGGAAAATGTATTTTTTATATCTACCCGTAGACTACATCATCATGCTTATGCATATTTTCATAATTAACATAAAATTGGAATAAATTCAAAGGTAAGCAGACCATGATATTGTATTGAACAATGAAGCCCGTAAGTTGTTGTTTTCGGCTGTCTTCCTATGATAACCACAGGGGGATTAGCTTGACTAATATGGTATCTAAAGTTCTCGGCTCAATAATCATGCGTAGACTAAGTGGTGCTCGGGAGAAAAAACGCGAGAGATCCAGGCAGGCTCTAGACCAGGAAGACGGTGTATGGATCACATCTTCACCCTTCGACAGATTCTGGGACATAGGCATACTTACTGTGGGCGTCCAACAATCGTTATATTTCTTGACCTAAAGGCGGCATTGGATTCCATCGACCAAGAGGTACTGCGGTGATGTTTGGCTGTAAAGGGAATGCCAAGAAAATACATTGCACTGATCAAGGCACTCTACTCGAATTCATGTAACCAGGTGAGAGCGTACGAAGAGTTGTCATCTTAAGTGACAACTAGTGGTGTCCGTCAGGGATGCCGATTGTCCCCATTTCTGTTTAATTTCATCATAGATGTGCTCATGGAATTCATCCTGACCTGTTACCAGGGAATGATCTCGTTGACTTAGAATATGCAGACGGTATAGTGCTCCTCGATGACAACACCGACAAAATGCAGAGTATTCTCAATGCCTTGATCAGCAATCTTCGAATGTTTGTCATGCGACTCGCTCCCTTTGTCAAATGTAAGATTATGCCTGCTGCAGGGCTGGACTGCAGTAACCCACTCACTCCTGGCTTAAAGATAACCAGGAGTGAAATGGTT